TGAAAAGGAGAGTGTTTTGATAAAAATGTCAAAAGTAAATTAAGTTATTTTCAAATTGGGCAGGCCCTACTTAGTCTTGGAGAGTTGTAGAGACACAATTTTCCTCTTCCCTTATTTGACCTTGTGCCTAATTAAGCTAAGCTTAGTAAATATATATATATATATATATATATATATATATATATATATATATAAAAAAAAAAAATAAAGTTTATTTTAAGGTTTAAATAGATTAAGCTATTTCCAGGAGGATTTTAGATAAAAGAAATCAATAAAGTGATTCAGTTTTGCCTTCCTGTGGATATAGCGACATATAAAAACCTAAAATAAGAGCAATGTTGAAAATAATATATAACCATAAGTCAAAATGTCTACAATTGAAAGAAAAGAAGATAAAGAGATAAAAGGTAAAAAAAAAAACAAATAAGGAGTCAGTGTAAAGTGAAAAAAAAAAAAAACAATGAAAAGGACAAATATGCACATACACTGCAGATGTGTGCATGGGTACCAATGCACACACACACACACACACACACTATGAATAAAAAGCAAAAAAACATGCGCCAATGAAAAGTGCATACACAAAAGAAAAAGTGTGGAGTGGACAGAGTGATTTCTGGAGGGTCCATCTATGAAACTCTGGATGCTAAATGAACTTAGTGACAAACATTTTACTTGTACTAATTATATATATATATATACTAGCAGCATGGCACAGCGTTGCCCATGCTTGATTCAAAAATCGTACGTACAGCAATCGCTATCACTTGACTTAAAATATTTTTGCCCTTCCTTGCCTTTAAAAGAATGCCCTTTGCCATGCTGATGTTGCTACATGCCTTACTTCTTGCATATCTCACACTGCAAATTTTTTCTAAGCTCTATACTAAACATTAAATCTGTTATGAAAAAAGAACTAAAAATGAACACAAAACAATCAGCTTTAAAAAAAGGACTCGTAACTGGAAAAACCGAATGAAAAAAGAATGTTAACAACAAATACTTTTTCACACCCAACCCAGTTCTGCAGAATCAGAATCAACGTTGAGTTTAAGCAAGCGAATGAGCCAATTGGAGTAAAGTGCCATGCAGATTTAAATTTTTTCCACTTGTGACAAATGCTGCTATCGCATGCTTGTTAACATTTGTGTCAGTCAGCTGTTGGCTCTCATGCTGGCCAATAGAATCTTCCTGCCTATTTGTGGCAGCCAGCTATAGGTTCTCACTCTGGCCAGTAGAAAATGGCCGCAAACTACATGAAAACTGCCGTAGAAGCATGAAAAAAAATCGATTATTTCCACTATCGACGGGAGTTAGGAAATGCAAAGTCGGTCTTGGCCTTCCCGCTAACTTGGAGCATGTGTATATAAATTTTGGTGCAAATCCGTCAAAAATTGCAGCCGTGCATTCATCACACACACACACCCTGCCTTTTATAGATAGTGATATATATGTGTGTAACTTGAATTTAGTGTATTGGGGCAGCAGATCATTATTTAAACATGTATTAAATATGAATGAATGTCTATTATGTTTAATCATGAGCCATTCTAATGTTCAAATGTTTGCTTTAATTTCTGGTGAAAATAAAGACAAAAATTGCCCTACATTTGGATATTTTAATGTCACATAGCAATCTTCTATGTCAAAATAAGGAAATATCTTTGACACTGGATATCTTTGTTTCATGTCTATATAACCATTCTGAGGATGGCTCATGTGAGTCGAAAGCTTAGGACCAACTTAATAAATAAATGTTGGAAAATTTTTGTTTTTATTTTCAGCAGAAATCAAAGGAAACATTCCAACAGCTCATGATCAGACATAATAGACATTTGTCATCTGTTATATTTAATAATATATGTTTAAATAGATATATGTATAAGGAGGCTGAGCCAGGATGGCCAGCAACTGGTCTGAATACATTGTGGATCTTATCTTCTGACAATGATGAATTTAATTTAGAACGTGACCTGGGGGATGTGGCAGAGGGAAGGAACTTGTTGAGAGCTGCAAGGGATAGGAGGAGGTGGAGAGCCATGATCACCTACGTCCTGAAAGGACATGGCACATAAAAAGAAAAGTAGTTTAAGATATAAAACTAAACTGGCACAGCCAGCAGAGAGCCACAGGAATTTTAAACTGCCAGTACACTTTCCACACCCAGATTTGATAGACAGGCTAAGGCCACACATGATGAGATACTGAGCCAACAAGTGGGTATGCATTCCTCTCCCACTGCTTCCTAGAATCAATGCTACCATGTCTATCCCTCTTGTATAATAAAAAGAAACCGTCTTTCATTGATATAATTTATCAAGTGGCATCAGGGTCTAAGGGGCTGAAACCAATGAAAAAATGGAATGCAACAAAAACAAAACTTATCTTAAACAGATTTACTTAATCCTTTAGGAGTATAAATAATAATTTCATAAAAAAATATCTGAGGTTGAAAATCTCAGATAATTTTCATAGGGTTTATTCATGAATAGTTTAATACCATCATTCAAAAAAATACATGAAAAATAAAAATTTAATTAATAGTACATGAAATTATTTTCTCTAACTTCAAAAGAGAATTTATAAAACAAAAATTAACCAATATCTGTCTATATTTCTGAGATGCGGTATTATGTACACTATTTACATTATTCGGACTATTGTCCTCATCTTTGTTGCCATATTTATTACAATGTTTCGGCCGTTGTACGCTCCGGCTTTCTTCAAGTGGTTGGAATGTTGAACTGAACCCATTATTTCACTCACTGGGGTAGACAGTTCTAGTTCCACATGCCATGACCACATGGCACAGTGGAAAAAGGTGTTGGTTAGATCCAGTAACAGGACCCAAATAATGTGAGTTCAATACCCGGTTAAGGCAGTGGAGAACTTGGAGAGGGGAATTAACAGGCATGGCACGTGGAACTAGAACAATCTACCCCAGCGAGCGAAATAAAGGGTTCAGTTCGACATTCCAACCACTTGAAGAAAGCCGAAACATACAACGCCTGAAACGTAATAAATATGGCAACAAAGATGAGGACAATAGTCCGAATAATGTAAATAGTGAAAATTAACCAAAAGAAACACTGACTTATTTTTACCAAAACATGTAATCAATTGACAGAATACTAAGTTAAATCTGAGAAAACTTGAAATCACAAAATGTACTGTTGTAGATTTGTGACTCAAACTGTCAAAATGTTGATAATGTCAAGATGAACACAAGCTCCATTTCATTGGTTCTCACCATGGAGGTTTTGCTCAACATGGCCACAAAGTTCAACTGAGTGATAACAATCAGCAAATCCCTAAAGGAGAACCCTACATAAAGATATGAACATACCATTCCAGAGGTTTATCCACAAACTACAATTTTCACAAGTTTAAGTGCAGTACTAGAATGGCTAGAAGTAACCTTAAGTTTTATTCTAATAATTTCTTCTCTCATACTTCTCACTTGTAGAGCACTCTTCCGGCTTCTTGCTTTTCTGTCAACTATGATAATCATAGATTTAAATACAATGTCATTCATCATTGAATGCTGTCATTTTAATTTCCTCTCTTCTCGGTAATATTTTCTCAGTTTCTTTCACTCTCAAAAACTCCATGCATCTTAGTGGCTTTATCACCTTGTGTTGTAACCTAGGGAAGGTTACTGAATAGAATAATCACATGAAGGTTGGTAATGAATGATAATACTTAGAACAAGAACAACACATATAAGATTCACCAGAAGCGCATAGAAGAAGTAGTCAACTGCTAGAAGTGAGTTAAGTGAATTCCACAATGAATCTCCAGCTGCAGGATATCTATGCTCAGATGTGGCACAAGGCCAAATTTAATGTGGGGTATCCGAGCTTGCAGGCTCAGCCAAAAATTCCCTGTAGACCCCGTATAAAACGGGGTCGGGTAGCTGTTTCCCCAAGACAAGACTCAGGCCTTTGTCTGGGGATCCTCTCTTCCCAGAGACAGAGAGTTTGACCAGCACAGCTGAAGACAAATTTCTGACTGCAGACCAACATACAGTATTTACTACTGTATTTATGTGAATGGAGACATACCCATTATCATCCGTAGGTATGCTACAACACCTTGCTTGGTGTGAAATTATTGAAAAAAAACAAAAAAGCAAAAAAAACATTGTTATTCATTCTAATCAACTTTTAAAAAATAAAAGCACTGAATATTATGGCACAAAGCAAGTAATATATTAAATAATTAGACGGCTTTATTTCATAAAGTTACAACTAGCTCTTAAATTTATCAGGGCAACTGAAATAAATATGTTAGACTATTTATCTAAAATTTCTAAATGATATCCGAGTGTAGTAAATAGTTTCATTTAATGAGCAAATAAATGTTACGCTACAGAACAAGCCGACAGAATTAGTAACATGAACAAAATTGGCCATTCTGTCCTTCCTGTTACTGTGGAGAGACGTTTTTTTTCAAGAGAAGAAATTTAAGGATTGGTGTAACTATTTTGAAAAGAAACCATAAAATCAGTTCAGCTACAAAGAGAGAGAGAGAGAGAACAATAGTGAGAAAGAGAAAGAGAAAAATAATTTTATAAAGAGAAAGAGTGATGACAGAGAACGTAAGAAAAATGACAACAGAAAGATAGAAAAACAGAGGCAGAAAGAGAAACAAAATTATAAATAAAACGAGAGAGAGAGAAAGAAAAATAGTGAAATAAATTTATAAAAAAAAAAAAAAAAAAGAGCGAAGATAAAGAAAGAGAAAAAAGAGACAGGGACAGTGAGAAAAAATGATGGGAGAAGATACAAAAATAGAAAAACAGTGAAAAAAGAGAAAAAAGAGAAAAAAAAGAAAAAAAAGAGAAAAAAAAGAAAAAAAAGAAAAAAAAAAGAAGAAAAAAGAGAAAAAGAGAAAAAAAAGAAAAAAAAGAGAAAAAAAAGAAAAAAGACAGAAACAGGGACAGAATGAAACAAGGAAACAATAGAAATATAGAGAAATAGAAAAAAAAGAGAGATAAATTAAGAGAGAGAGAGTGATAGAAAAATTATAAAAAGAAATAGAGAGAAAACCAAAGAGAGAGTGGGAGAGAGCAATAAGGTAACAATAGAAAGATAAAGAGAAAAAGGAGAGGATACATAAAAAAAAGAGAGAGAGAGAGAGAGAACAATATGGAAAATTATAAAAAGAAACAGAGAGATAAAAAAGAAGATAGAGAGAAAAATAAGGTGACAATAGACAAATATAGAAAGAATAATAAGTGAGAAAGAAAGAGAGATGAAGAAAGAAAGAGAGAGAAAAAGAATGTTATAAAGAGACAGAGAGAAAAAGAGACAAACAAGCAGAAACAGATAGAAAGAAAATGACAACAGAAAAATAGGAAGAGAGAGAGAGAGAGTTCTACCATATAAATGTTGCCGATTTTACAAGAGTACTAATGTGAAGATAGAGAACCATTGTAATGTCCTAACTTCCAAGATGAGATAGAGAAGAGGGGTACTTCAAAACTTGTATTCAAAATCCAGACTAAAACAAATTGACTACAAACATCAAAATCAACATGCAACTACCTTGGGCTTGAGCACACCATCCTGAAGAAAGATTATGACTTGAATAATACAGTTGATTAAATAAAACTGGTAAACAGACATACGGTACTAATAATTACAGTGGCAAAGAATAAACAAAACCTAAGAATAACAACTAATAATTTAAATAAAATGACCTCACCTATTTGATCTGACTTCAATAAGCAATTATATTCAACGTAATTACAGTTAACCGTAGATAAAGTAGCAAGCAGGAATAGTTCAATTATGGTGATCTGATTGTTCAATGAGGCCTGAGGTAGACTTGTCAAAATATAGTGATGAGATTGCATCACTATCTTCATCAAATTAGGCATATTCCATTCAGTCAACTTTTTTATTCTAGTTGTTGTCTATCTCCAGGATTGGATGCCCAGTAAAAAGTAAAACTATCTCAACCACCAGAGAAAAAAAATACATACAAAGAGACACAGATAACAGTGATTAGAAAGAGAGACAGAAGACAGTGATTAGAAGGGGAGACAGATACAGAACAGTAATTAGAAAGAGACAGACATAAAGCAGTGACTAGAAAGAGAGACAGACATAGATGAGTGAATAGAAAAAGAGTGAGACAAGCCTGGAATAGTGAATAAATAGAGAGAGATATATAAAACAATGGTTAAACAGAGAAAGACATAGAACAGTGGTTAGAAAAGAGAGAGAAAACATAAAACAGTGGTTGGAAAAGATAGAGAGACAGGCGTAGGACAGTGATTAGAAAGAGAAATAAAGAGACAGAGAGACACAGAACAGTGGTTAGAAAGAGAGCAAGATAGGCATGAAACAGTGAATAGAAAGAGAGAGAGACATAGATTACATCTCTAGAAAAAGAGTGGCAGATACAGAACAGCAAATAGAGAGACAGAGACAAATATAGAACAGTGGTCAGAAAGAGAGAGACAGATATGAAATGGTGGTCAGAAAGTGAGACAGACACACATAGAACAGTGATGAGAATGAGAGACAGACACACATAGAACAGTGATGAGAATGAGAGACAGACACACACAGAACAGTGATGAGAATGAGAGACAGACACACACAGAACAGTGATGAGAATGAGAGACAGACAACAGTGATGAGAACAGACATGAGAACAGTGATGAGAGACAGACACACATAGAACAGTGATGAGAATGAGAGACAGACACACATAGAACAGTGATGAGAATGAGAGACAGACACACATAGAACAGTGATGAGAATGAGAGACAGACACACACAGAACAGTGATGAGAATGAGAGACAGACAGACATAGAACAGCAAATAGTGAGAAAAAGATAGGCATAGAACAGTGATGAGAGAGAGAACCATTATTTAAAAGAGAGAAAAACATAGAACAATGATGAGAGAGAGAGAGAGAGAGAGAGACATACATAGAACAGTTAATAGAAAGACGGAGACAAAACAGTGGTTAGAAAGAAAGACAGAACAGTGAATAGAGAGAGAGAAAGAGAGTCAGACATAGAACAGTTGTTAGGAAGAGAGAGAGAGACAGATATTGTTGTGTAATGGATCCAGCGAACCAGATCCAATTCCATTCAGGTGCCTTATATTCACTTATTCAGAAATACCCTTGGGAAAGGTATGAATCCTCCTCTTATCCCCCCAGATATGGGTTAATTAGTAATTGTATCAACAAATCATTATTGTCTCTAAAATAATTCTTACAATCTAAAAATATTTTCTGTTTTTAAATAACCCACAGAAGGTTGATCATCTGGAAAAAAAAAAATCAATCAACCCTAAACATTACCTAGATTGACAGACACCTGAAGAAGGTCAGCAGGCATATTAGTCGAAACATTGTGATAATAGTAAAAATGAGGATAGTAGTTCAAAGTCTGTCTATATTTCTGAGATAAGGTATTATGTACATTATTTACATTATTCAGATTATTGTCCTCATCTTTGTCGCCATATATATCACAATGTTTTGGCCGTTGTCAGGACACATGGCACAGTGGATAAAGGCGTTGGTTAGATCCAGTGACAAGACCCAAAGAGTGTGAGTTCAATACTCAGTTAAGGCAGTGGAGAACTTTCAGAGGGAAAATTAACAGGAGATAACTGATAGCTGACATCCATCAAACATGGCACGTGGAACTAGAACAATCTACCCCAGTGAGCGAAATAAAGGGTCCAGTTTGACATTCCAACCACCTGAAGAAGGCCAGAGCATACAACGGCCGAAATGTTGTGATATATATGGCGACAAAGATGAGGACAATAGTCCGAATAATATAAATAATGTATAGTAGTTCAAATGTAAATAGTGATAACTCCTCATCACAGAACTACAGAATGATTGTCTGAAATTAATAAGGATCTGTCTATATTTCCGAGATGAGGTCTTGTAGCTCTTTATACTATTTACATTGTTCAAACTGTTGTCCTTATCTTTATTATCATATTCATGATGTTTCAGCCATTGTACACTCTGGCATTCTTCAGATAATATACTTTGGAATTTCGAACCAGACTCTGTAGATTGTTCTAGTTCCACGTGCCATCCCCTTTTCTGGACATCTCAGTTTGTTATTTCCCTTTAGTAACTCAACTTTCTAAGTTTTTGTTCACCTTTGCTCTGGCGAGGTATTGAACTCACAACTCTTTGGGTCTAGTCACTGGATTACTTCAACCAATGCTTTTATCAACTGGGCCATTACCAAAGTATATCACCTGAAGAAGGCCAGAGTGTACAACAGCCGAAATGTTGTGAATATGACAATAAAGATGTGGACAACAATCCGAACAGTGTAAATAGTGTAAGGATCAACTCTTTCTTGTGATGTAAAAAAAAAAAAACAAAAAAAAAAATAGAAAACACATACAAAATTAGTCTCTGATCATTCCTATCAAAATAAATATTGAGAATGATTTCCTTTTGTGTCAGATTTTTTTTTTTTTTTTTTAATTCCCAGAAAAGACCATGTTGGCAAAATCATTGATCTGCCAAAGATCCATATCCACAAACGTTTCTAACCACAGTCACAATTCTTTTCAAGTGATAATTTATGATCGATTTGGGTACACCCTTGCCTCCAAGAACTCCAACCTCGTGATTCTGCATCAACAGCCAGCATACACATTTAATACAAACACGTCTTATCTAAACAACTGGTCTGAACAAAATGGCCTTACTTTATCAACTTTAATCTCTCTCTTTATGTGCTGTAGGATGTAGGCAATCATGGCTCTCCACAATTTCCCGTTCCTTACAGCTCTAAATAAATTCTGTCTTTTCGTTAGTTCTAAACCCTTTTCTGTCATCCATTTTCTCAAGCTTGTCAAGTATGTCATGCATCTGTCCCTCTTGCTCTCAATCTATCTTAGTTATATATAATAGGCACTTGTCCCTGCTTTTGTCTTTGACTTGGTTAATTAGCTGTGTGAATTATTTTAATATATCTAAAAGTCCAGAAATTACCAATCAATATACATTCAATCCTCTCTAAAAGGACAAAAAAAAATGATATTATTGATGAAAAATTACATTAAGAAAAAATTTAAAATATCATCATATAATAATTGTGCTTGTCCCTCCCTTAGTTAGTCCACATGACCGTTACGCACTACCAATACCTTATAAATTGCTGTAGCCTAGGAAGGGTCACTGAATGAGGAATAACCAAAACAGAGGTTGGAAATGAAATGGTAATCTTTATAACATCAACAAAATACAATACTCGCCAGCAGCATGAAATAGGTAAACCACTTCTAGCGGTGGACTACTTAGACAGCATATTACCCCAACTTAGTGTCCAACATATTTATGAGGATTGGGACATACCCATTAGTGTTCATAAATAATAAACTATTGTTTTGATTGCATGGAAAGACAAAAGACATGTCAGAGATACTACTTGGTTTCAGTGAAAGAAAGCAAGAAAGAAATAAAGAAAGATACAAGTGTTTAATGTCTCCAGTTAATACCTCATAAATAACGGACTATTCCGTTTTAATTGTTTTGATCACAAGACAAAAAACGAAAAGACATATCAAACCATTTCTTGGATTAAGTGAGAAAATGCAAGAAAGAAAGGAAGACAGAAGTGTTTAACAACAGTTTCATTGAAATGTAAAAAGTTGTCAATTTTAAATCTTTTCATTTGTACCCCCTTACTTCTTAAAATAACGACTAGCATTCATATTTATGATTGTTATTGCAATATTTTTTAAAGTTGTTAATCTCACATATTTAACAATGTGATAGGGGAATTCTATAGATATTTTTATTGTCGTAGAACTCCCCATGACCTTATTCAATCATTAACTAAAGAATTAAGATTTATCAGAAATTTAAAATATGGAAACCATGAAATTTTCACAAGTCATAACTAGTAAATGTAAATTTGCAAAACTTCTCTTGTAACATTTAGCCCAGTGGTTCTCAACTTTTTTTTTTACCCATGGACCACTTTTACTCTTATTTTCTTTGGTGGACTTCCATAACCATTCAATGGAAAAAAAAAAAAAGCTTACTTTATTTTTTACTAATAGATAAGTTTAAGAATTGTATTATAGAAATGATAAATGTATATGCTTTATTTTGAAGTAAAACTAATTTAATGAAAATGGACTTGTATTTAACAACTAAATTTATGTACACGAATGGCAGAATAAAAGGGACACTTATATTGCTTAAGCCGGTTCTGTTACTTTTAGAATTGTTTTTCAATTTTTAGGATTTTAATATGGTATAGAAATTCCAATTCTCAGTTGTAACAACCATTCCAAAGTGAAATCACTCTATGGACCACTAAAATATTACTGTTATTATTGCTATTTTTTGTGTGGACCCTCAGTAATATTACATGGACCCCTGGGGTCCATATGGAGCCCAGTTGAGAACTACTAATTCAATCCTTATTCTGTAAAAAAAAAAAATTAAAAAAGCCTAAAAGCATAGTGCTATTATACTTTTGCACCCCAACCCCCAGTCACATACTTCCCTGGGTGGGCCTGGATGCATAGTGGAAATTGACAAATCTTTTGAGAAGAGAAATATAATATTACAATGGATGATTTACTTTGCTGAGTCACTGAAAATTCAAAGATGCAATTCAAAGACTCAAAAAGTTATTATTTTTGTCATCAGATTACATCCTGTTTAATATAATTGGTTCTTGAAATTGCATTCAATTAACAAACACCTTTATAATTGAGACTGATTGAAAACATGATTGTTTCCAGACGTTCAATTTAAATATCATAATACAAATTTTAATGCACAGGAAGTACCTAAACAGGGTGTTAAAGTTGGGGCATGTAAAAGTATAGAAGTCATTGAATGAAATAACATTGTAAAATGTCAACAAACAACAATGGGTTACTAGTTAATACAATAAAAAAAACAAAAAAAACCCTTTTCCCTACCAATAGAGAAAATTAAAAAGATTTTCCAACTTACAAACCAATGTTATTTTACTTTCGATAATAAATGAGTTCAAGCGCCCTACGAGGCTGGCATCCCGCTCTCACCCCTTCACTGTCGAAACTCCTAAATGTAGCCGTCTCTTCTACTCTAATAGCTTCGTGTCTCGCACCTCTCGCCTGTGGAACTCTCTTCCCTTCTCCTGTTTCCCTGAGAGTTATAATCTCCAGCTATTCAAGTGTAATGTCAATCGACATCTCCAGTTGCCTTAATCTATCTACTACCCTCATCCTTTCTTCTATCACTCCTATCTGATCTTCCTATTTTCTGTAACCCCTTGCGTTCTAGTGGCTTCCCGCCTTGCTTGAGTGAAATGCTTAAAAAAAAAAAAAAAACTTTTTTAGACAGAAATTTGGATTACCAATGGGATTATAGGCTCTCTGAGTGTAATTTTAATTTGTCTTTTCTTAGAAATTCTAGAAACTGACCAATCCAATCCAAGTTTCGATGAGAATCTGAAATTATGATACACTCAATATATAAAAAAATTTGGAATCCCCTGCGATTGAATGTGCAACTGCGATATTTCAGTTGGTAACCTGTTTTTACGAGATTGGTGCTGAAACAGTGTGGGATACAAAAACCTTAAAATAAATAAACAAAACTGAGTTGAAATTGGTAAAATCCAATTTCAAAAATTATACACATAAAACTTTTAAGTTTTTTAAAAAAAATCAAGCATTCATATGATTGACTTTTTTTTAATGTTTTGTCTTATAAATGTAGATATTATTTTTGTTAAAATAAAAGAGAATTTCTGATGATGTCAAAGGATCAACAAAACATGCCCAAATAAAGAGTTTTCCTTGGTGTACTTAAAAGAGTTGGAGGGTCAGTGTTAGAATTTGATGCCTGATGCATTCTAAAGAGGAGTGTGCCAAGAGAACTGGTCAATTTCTAGCCACTTGTTCGGAGCCCTGTTCTGAACATGTGAGCAATGA